CCGGTTTCTGGACTCTGTCCTTACACCGGCTCAGGTGGGGCAGGAGGAGAATGTGTGGTAGATGCAGCGCAAGTCTACTAGCACTATAACCCCCTGCGCAAGTCACCGTCCCTCCTCCCACCACCTGTTGTCGGGCACACGGTGGACATCGTCGAACACGCCGGTCGAATGTTCGTGTTAACTATCTAGTGAAATTCTCGAAAACGTCATAAATGATTGCGGTTGGGAAAACTTCGGATTTCGATGTACAGGAAACTTGTCAATGCAAAATACTGAGTATATATGAAAAGTGCAAATATAATAACTTCCAAAAATAATCTTCTATTGTAGTTTACATTTCAGAGTAATTAGTGCAGTTTCGGATATGGCGGCCTGCCAACGGCCTACAACAGTAGCTTAGATTCCAAAAGGGTTTGCCGAGGTTTCGTGGTAATTTTTACATCTCGGAATCGACTGAGATGCGGCTAAGTAAAGCATAGAGACTTCTGCTTGATTTTGTCCATGGAGACGTCATAGAAGCTAAGGTTCTTACAAGGGCCCATGCTGCCAGGCGGTTCAGCGACTGACAAATTTAAATAGACTCTTAGTCGTGATCGCCAATATACCATTATGCGCACGTAACGAGTGCGCACTTCCGTGAAATGAATTCGCACTTTTTCTTTATACTGGATTACGTAGAGTTGCAGATCCGCCTTGAAATATCGCTAAATGCTTAATGCTTTTCATAGTTTCCAATCGATTACCCATAAAACATATTTTTATTATGTGTTACTACAACCTTAAAATATGATACTTGTTGAAGGCATGTAAAGGATACGTGAGTGTTCGGACGTTTTTTTCCATGTCGAATGTAGTTTGGGCCAACATTGAACTAAACCCGAACAGAAAACATCATTGTCGAATTAAATTGACACCCACAAGAGAAGTCAACACCGAATATGATTTCGATCAGTTAGAAAACTCCATAATAAGTTACCTTTTCGCAGAACGCTGTAATGTACCATTCCACTGGCGGATGTCTGTATACTTTGAATTTTGGGATTGGCTAGGAATACTACGTGCGGAAGGATTCGAGGGCAGCGTGACCTTCATGTAACCGAAAAATACGAAAACGTAAGCTAGCCTGTAATACTCGAGTAACCTGATGGCTTGGTCTCGTCTGTGTTGGGGTTTTCGGAAGGTAGTTAAGTTGTTCGTCTGTAGAAGGCATAGCAGACATATTCATCACGTCTCTCCTTTGTATGGGGTCTTATGGGTAAGATTACGCGAATTTCAACAGCCAATACCAGAAATGAACTTCCAACAAATGAGCGTTTATTGAATCGAGAACTAGGGGTAAGAGGAATTGTAAATTGGGGGGCAGAGTGGTAAAGGAGGGGACAATAGAGGAAGGGAACCAGAAGGTATGCGCGAGCTTTCCTCCGATTTACCCTGCTTCCTGTCTAGGTGTCGGTACGCGGGGTTTCAACTCCTGCGCGTCCGATTGGTGATCCGTCACCGTCGCTTCAAAGAGAGCGGATTGTCGCACAGGAGAGCATTCACAAAGGAATTAAAACAAACTTAACTACAAATATCTGTTCTCTACAAGCCAAAATACTGAAGGTCAGACAGAGAGATTTCAAATAAAAGCCAACCCAAATAGAAAAGAAATCTAAAAGCGAACAAAAGAGCGACGGAGCAGTGCAAACAAACAAAGTGAAAGCAGAAATTACAGCCAACGATCGTCAGCGGACGTAAAATGAATAAGTACTGGGATGCGCCTCTGTTAGTACCTCACAATGTACACACACAAGCACGCGCGTTGTGGCCAGACTGCTTGAAGTGCGTAGGGATGACTCACGAACAAATGCCCGAAATGCAGCGCGCGACGTACCTCATGAAGTGTTGACCGAAATTCAAAAATGAATATCCGATTAGGAATGATTACTTAGGTGGTTTTGTAGTACGGATTATCCTGCGGCATGGTCCTATGGCATTTGGACTCGCGAGGATTTGGGCTTTCAAACGTACTTCTGTTTGGCCTCCTGTACACAATCGGTAAAAAATGACTACATAAGTGGCAAGAATTTAAGAAGATACCATATAGAGTTCATGAAATTTTGTAATGTACGCGAACTACGTCGTACATTTCCTGAGGAGCATCGGTAAACCGGCATGTTAGATGCTATATGTATGAACACCGCACGGACCTAAAAATCTTATAATTAGAAACCTTTTAAAAACCGAAAGGTAGATACCATTAGGCTATAAATTGTTGGGACGAATTGATTTTCTAAGGAAAATATACAAGAAACCATTTTTGTGCATGCTTTCTATAAAATATATTTACATTTATAAGATCATCGAAAAGGAATGTTAAAATGCTTGCAAATAAAGTTGTCTGTTCTATTGAGTGTGGTTTCTGCAGAGGGTCAAAAAGAAGTACATTCGAAAACCCACATCCACACTGAGTAGGCTTTCTTAACCGAATATACATTTCAGAATTTCGCCCAACACTTCTTGAGATCGGTCAGGCACTGCAGTTCGGGCAGGTGTTCGTGCATCATTCCTGTGTCAAAGAAGCCAGTATTGTCATTGGTCGCGGGGTTAAGCACGCTCAAGTCACTAACCCACCCAGAATGCCTTCTAGGCTGAGTATTTAGTCAATAGAAGCGAAGAGACGAGCCGCAGTGTGAAAAAAGAGACACGATCGTTCGGACAAGATATTTATTCGTCTGACGTTTTAAATTTCCTCTTGAACACATTATCATAGACAAAAGCAGACACGGGTGTTTCATGCACAAGGGCTGCAGTATTTATAGGTTGCATTCGCCATGCTACCGCATACCTATGAATTCACGGCGCACCCTCTTCATTAAGGAATCGTTACATTTGGCATGATGCCTGATTGATGATCGACACTTGTTTTGGTCTGGGGACCAGTGAACCATGAGTAAATCAGCTCGCGGCTTACGCGGTTCTCATATCTAGTGACAATTTCGACCTCGGTGAATTTGAATGTGTGGCCAATTCTCGCCGAATGAGTCGCAACTTGATTGCCGGCGTCATTTCTCCGCACTTCTGCAACTTGCTCGGTCATTCGTGTTCAGAGCTGTCTTCCACTTTCTCCGACGTAGTTACTTTGTCCATAGCTGCGCCAGATTCGATAAACGACTCTAGTCGTTTCTAGCCGTGGCAGTGGGTATGTCGGTTTCATTACCTGAAGCCTGACGGGAAAAATAAACGTAACATCAAATGATTTCATGACCTCATTTGGATTGTATATGTATATATGTATATATTGAAGAGTTACAGGCAGAGCCCTTGATGACCATATTTATGTACAGTGCTTTCGCAGATTCATACTCAAAAATAAAATAAATTGCAGGAATTTAAAATGTGATTGGTTCACAGTTCAATCGTAATCATATAGTAGTGCATAGGGTCACTGTAAATTTGTGCGGGAGATTGTATATGACAGATATTACAAAGCTGGCTGTACATAGTCATGCTGTACAAGTCGATTTCTGTCGAAAACTAGACGGGCAAGTTTTCTTTTAAACACACGAACTGTGTTTGAGGCCTGGATGGAGGCCTTCCCTGTGAGATTTTCCATGAATTGTGCTCAAGAAGGGATTGTGGTGTCTGACTCAACGGTATGCAACAAAGATTGTGGTGGACTAAACACCACACTGTTCAGGAGAGCGACAAATACGATGCAAGTACTGAATTTCAACTGTTTAAGAATATCTTGCCGGAGGATGTTTCCCTTAGTCCTGCATTCGGCAGGCGGGCGTTTTCATGCACACTTCTCGTACACTACTTTAAGATCTAAAGATCTAAAGACTGCGCACGACCATGCTTGTCAGTGATGACTATGTTGTATAACACAAAACCGTGGCGGTTAGTGCGGTACGTGCAGTCCATCTGCAACATATTTGCAAACTGAGCGAACACGGATTTCAATACTGGTGTTGTGAAACAGAGAGCTCGGAGGCCTTTTTTCTCTGTAGACCAAATCAGGGTAACATCCTTCCCCCATCAGATAGAGGGCGTCAGTCATCCCTCTCACTGTCGGGTCAGATTTAAAAACGCGCCCTTGCATGTATGCAAGGTACTTCATTTTGTAGTTTATCGCAAATGAACCTACAGAATGGTTTTTAAAGAGAAGGCTTCCTTCTCAAATAAACCTTCAACCGACCGATAGAAGGCCTTATCTGTGAAATCATTTTGAGAAGCCCTTGGCCGTCTTCGCCTTCAAGACGGCGGAAGCTTGCCGGGCAGCCATACCGCACTGATCTGACTTATTGGCATTTAACTAGGAAATATTTACTTTATTCCCCGACTTGAATTTCCCTGAGTACCCCTCCCTCCATGGATGCAGGCGAAGTAGACTTACGCACATCTTAATGTGCTAAATTCAGGGTGGTCCAAAGGCAGCCTGCTGCTGTGGGAGATTCTGAAACTACAGCTGGCTTCCTGTAATTCCCAAGTGGGTGATTGTACTTTAACATACTTACTCGTATTCTCTTACCTTGGAAATCATATCAACGGTGCTTCTAAATATGCCATTTTGGGCATCAGTCTCCTGAACTGCGCACACAGAACGAGTGTTTGCTCTCGTCTTATAACATACATGTAAGGAAGTCTTCGTCCAACCGAATTTTGGAGAAAATAGACTCAGCTTGCGAAAATCCTGCAAAGCATGTTCTTTGAAAATTTCTCTCGTGTCAGTGTTTTCGGGCAGCAGAGAGTCCTGGTTGCGGTCCATCTTGAAAGACGATACCGTGATTCCCTCCTTCCTACTGTGTGCGACATTTAAGAAACGAATCGCATCCAACACGGCAAGAAAACATCGAGACTTTCAAAAGAAAACTAGATAAACTTATGCTAGATGGTCGAACATTTACATGATATCAATGACCGGCATAACTGCTATGTAAAAATCTGCATGTTTTTTTTTCATAGAACCAGCTGTCAATAGGGAATTCCAAGGCTCTGCCTCCATCCGTCATATACACTCAATTATACTGAATTAAAGAAGATGAAGATCCGATCTCTGGGACAGTGGGTTGATTAGTCTGAGCTTTCGGTCTCGTACAGGAGGCCATCGTCAGAGACTGTGAGAAGGCAACATCAAATGAGCGGTTTTTGTAGTCACGCCATGAACGGGGGGGGGAGATATGAGTGCAGCGGGTGGTATTCTCGATAAGTTGCGTCCCACGCCGTCTCACGTTGGCGTGACTGCGTGCACCCTTGGCTGGAAATTGGGTCTCGCCCCTTGGCCGCGGGGAACGGAGCGCGTGATAGCAGGGGGGTATTTCAACGTGCCTTTTGATAGAGTTGGTGCTAGACACCCAGGCCTCTAACAGTTCACGTCCTGTCTTATTGCTAGCCCGCGCCACTATCCGCGTGCTCGCAAAGTTGAATTCGTGGCCCTCCTCCAGGGTGTGAGTGGCGATCTGAGACAACGGGTCGCCTCTCCGGACCGCGCGTTTGTGCTTCGTTATTCGTGAGCTAAGCCGTCGTCCGGTTTGTCCTGTGTAGTGGCGAGGGCAGTCCCGACATGGGATCTGATAGACGACGCCCGATTGTTCACCCACGTCTAGGCGATCCTTCACTTGCATGATTTTGCTGCGCATGGTCGCTGTCGGACGGTGAGCAATACCCACGCCGAGCTCTCCAGCAATACGTTCCATCGCTTCGGATACGTTCTTTATATATGGCAGAGGGTGCCAGAGTGTTGGCGGCTCTCCTCCGTTTGTTCGCCGTGGGCGCGTGCGGAGGCAGCGGCTGACGAAGCTGTTCGGGTATCCATTCCTTGCCAGTTGGTCCCGAAGATGCCGACGTTCTCGTACTCGTCCCTCTGGTTCACTGCAGTGCGTTTTTACCCTCTGGAAGAGTGTCCTAACACAGCTGCGTTTATGCGCCATTGGGTGGTTACTGTGGTAGTTGAGAATCTGAGTCGTGTTAGTCGCCTTTCTGTACACCGTGGTGTTGAGTTCGCCGTTGGGTGTGCGTGTGATGAGAACGTCAAGAAAAGGCAGCTGTTCAGCATGCTCTACTTCCCTTGTGAACTGAATGTCTGGGAAGATGCCGTTGAGCAGGTCTTGGAAGTCGGCCAGTCTTCTCCTTTCAATTATGACGAACGTGTCGTCCACGAACCGGCGCCAAAATGCAGGTTCATAGTGGTCGAAGGCGACTTTTTCCAGTTCCTGCAGGACTAGTTCTGCAACCAGGCTGGATATTGGCGAACCCATCGGCGTTCCTTTGATCTGCTCGTATGTTCTGCCATTGAAGGTGAAGAAGGTTTGTTGGCAGAAAGCAAACATTTGCAGTAAGTGGTCAATTTTTAGGGGTTTGTTCGTCTCGTCGTAATTCTCTTCGAGTCGTTTGCGAAGAACGTCGCGTGCCAGGTCCGGTGGGATGGACGTGAATAATGAAACCACGTCAAAGGACACCATAATCTGCTCCGGTCGGACAACTTTTCCTCGGATGTCGGCCAGGAATTGGGAGGCCGAATTGATGGAGGTCCTTGAGCCCTCTCGGAGAAAGTTAAGTTTTCGGGCCATCCACTTGGACAGATTGTAAGTGGGGCTGCCTTTCAAAGCAACGATCGGTCGAAGGGGAACATTGGGCTTGTGGATTTTGGGTAATCCATAAAACCGGGCTAGTACCGTGTCCGTTGGTTTCATCTGTCGCCATTCGTCTAGCGATATAGCACTGTTTCGCTTGAGTCGGTTCAGGAGTCCAGTTAGTTGACCAATCATCGATTTGGCTCGCGAGGGAGGCGTGGACTTGTAGGACTGTTGGTCGTCTAGTTCGCCACTCACACCCTGTAGGTGGGCCACGAATTCAACTTTGCGAGCACGCGGATAGTGGCGCGGGCTAGCAATAAGACAGGACGTGAACTGTTAAATGCCTGTGTGTCTGGCACCAACTCTATCAACAGGCACGTTGTAATACCCTTCTGCTATCACGCGCTCCGTTCCCGCGGTCAAGGGGCGAGACACAATTTCCTGCCAAGGGTGCACGCAGTCACGCCACCGTGGGACGGCGTGGGACGCAACCTATCGATAATGCCACCCGATGCACTCATATCTCCCCCCCCTTCATGGCGTGACTACAAAAACCGCTCATTTGATGTTGCCTTCTCACAGTCTCTGACGATGGCCTCCTGTACGAGACCGAAAGCTCAGACTAATAAACCCACTGTCCCAGTGATCGGATCTTCATCTTCTTTACAACAAGAACCTGGGATTCGCATATATGCTTCCATACTGAATTAAATACAGTCATTAATTGTCATACTTCTTCGGAGGAGCCATAATACGCACATACTTCCGGCTGACATGCACAAACTTCTCGGCATGAATAGATCCCAAAGTGTGTTTGTGGGAACTTTTTGCCTTGGATTATTAGCCGGTAGCCTAAAAAATATGCCCATACACATCATTGTCGAGGGACCGAATGGGCACGACGGAATTATTCAGCACTCCACCTGGGACTATTTCGACTTGGTTACCATTTCACAGTTACCGTCCCTTACATTGTTACTGGAATCGCATGTACAGAATTGCTTTGCGCAGTTTTGGAATATTTTCTCACGCATCGAAATTCGCCTGGAACCTGGATTAAGTGCAATTTGTTTTTCAGCAGAGTGCAACTGACAACGCAACTGGCTACGCAACCGATTCACGGTATACAGCCTAGAAAACCAATCGCTCAAAATCCTTCAAGGTCTGCAGTTATTCAAGTCCCACGAGATCTGCAAAGTGCTAAGTCGCTTCTGATTAAATTCAACAAAATTTATCGGATTTTAAGTATTTTTTCACTTATTGAGTTTTGAATACTCACTTTAATTCATCATATATAAGCCGACGTATTCGTTATAACATCGAAAGCGGAATTATACCTATTATATCACGTCGAAGTTTATGGAGTCGCAGCAAACTAATTGTAATAGTACGGTCATCGACGGCACCTCGTTGGAAGATAAGTCCGGTGAGTTGTCCTTCGCATCCAGAACCTGTGTTCGCTCTACCTGCGCTCCCAGCCAACGACAAGCAAAGCGTGCAAAAAGCGTAATTACCGCAAAAAGTGTGAGGTACGAAGACGAGCCTTGTGCTGGGTGCGCAGATATCCAAATCAAAGTAGAACAACTCGAAAAGGAGCTTACTGATTTAAGGACGCTCGTGAAATAGACCCTAGACGACCAGAAAGTGTCCAGTGTTAGAGTCCCAGAAACGAAGAGCAGGGCACAAAATACGCGAACAAACATCTCCTCGGGGCATCTTGAAACGCAATTTGAAACTCAGAAGCCAAAATCGCAGACGCCGGTAACAGCAGGACAACGAAAACGAAGCCGCCAATAAGGGCAGACTCGATTCCCACGCATGATGTCTTAAGCGATGTCGCAAAAAATTACCTATCGCGGAATCCATGTCACCTAAGCCTCTTGCTGTAAGTGATGGGATTTCTGTTCTGCCCGGAGACTATATACCTGGGTCATCCAGTCTACTGTTGCCCTCTTGTTCTGGCAACCACCCCGAGCGCACTACAGAGCACGTATCTGAATGCGAAGACATGAACCCGTAGGTAGATGGGAGCAAGGAACGCCATGATAGGAGTCTGAAGTCACAACCAGACCTGATGGGTTGTTTGGAACAGTCGGTAGACAGTTAAAGTGTGCGTCCAAACGACGACTCCGTAAATCGTCCTCGCCCACATGCAGCGCATTCATCGGAAAGACAGAGTACGGAGGACCATGCTCGCCAGCAGTGTCTGGTTATTCAGGGTTTGTCAGAATCGAATGCAGTCAGACCTGAAGACCGTGTCTCGTAGGACCTTGCTCCTTTTCATGGTCTACTAAAACAGTTACTCCAGGCAGACATGGAAATAAAGGTTCTGAAAGCATTCCGGATAGGAAAAAGGAGTGAAGACAGGACAGTAGCACAACCACCTCGCCCTCTCAAATTTATGCTGGAGAACAAATAGTAAATCAAGTTAAATTTAATTTATTAAATGCCAGTTTACAGGCATTGTCAAGGGAAGCGATTAAACACAAATCCGACCAGCAGTGAAAAAAAACTCCTGAAGAATAAAAATATAGTTGTGTTGGTTTTTATGGTTTGGAGGGTTAAGGAGAAAAAAACTGCTGGTGGTAGATTTTCGACCGTCAAGAAGGGGGAGGGGAGGGGGCTGCACGGTATCGGAGATCGTCGGACGTCACTTCCTTTCATGAAGTTGGGCATAGTCAAAGTAGACGCGTTGAGGAACAGCTGGTGAGACCGGACATAGTGTTCCGAGACCACAAACGCCATCGCTACGGTAGAGTCGATCAGTGGATTCAGAACCCAAAATTTGAGGAAGCTTTTCTGAATGCAAAAATCGAGTAATAGTTCTCTTAAATAAAGGATAATTTTGCAGAGTTTTCACTCTCATGGGTAGTTTATTCCAAATAGAAATTGCATTTACAGAAAAGAACCGACGATATTTAACAGTACGTGCCAGAGTCCGAAATAAAAATACCTCGTGGTGACTGTTACGTCGACGGTGGATATGATGTCTTAAAGAAGTGAGTGGGGTAAATGTGTGATTATATAAGAGTTTAAATAGCAAAAATAGTCCCCTTTGTAATCTGCGGAACCATAAATGATCAAGGCCCGTAAGCCGGTAACGTTCTTGGTAAGACAAATGTCGGTGTTCGGGGGTTAAAATTCTCATGGTAAAAAAGTGTTGAACGGATTCTATTTTCTCCCGCTCAAGAGCACGCATGAGGCTAAATGAAAACGAACAGTATTCCAGACCAGGTCTAACGTACATGTTGTAAAGGCGCATTCTAATTTCCCTAGTTTTAAAATTTCGGAGGATAAACCCGGTCGTTCAGTTCAGTTCAGTTCAGTTTATTGAGGGAAATAGGCGTAAGTCTTTGAGTACCCTATTTGCAACGTAAAAAATGTGTGGTGTACAGATAGATGTTCTGTCCCATAATTGTGGGACAAAATGAGAAGGAGTTACAGGGGGTGAGCTCTACTCATCGCCCTTGGTCATTTCGGAACATAAATATGTCCAGATTCTTCTCAAAACTTTGTATAGATGGTGACATCACAACATCTGCGGGAAGCTCATTCCACGGTTTGACCACCCGAACCGAGAAGGAGAACTTCCGCACATCCAGCCGTGCCTGCTGAGTGCGCAGTCTTAACGGGTGACCTCGGAGGTTGGTCGTGGTAGCAAATTCAAAAAAGTCCTCGAAGGCCAGACTGCAATTCAACCCCTTTACAATACGGAAGGCTTGCAAGAGATCTCCGCGAAGTTGCCTGTAACTCAAAGGAAAGAGGTTCAGATTTACTAGGCGGGTCGCATAAGGAAAGGAGCTTTGACCCCTGACCATCTTCGTGGCTCTCCTCTGGACTCTTTGGAGGCAGTTTTGATCCACAACAGTCCACGGCCTCCAAGCTTGTATGCCGTACTCTAAATGCGGCCGGACGAATGTTCCGAATGTCTTAGGGAAAGCATCTTCGTCAAAGTCCATAAACGCACGCTTGATGGCGTACGGTTCGGTCATTGCGGTTTTTGCCACCCTCGAACAGTGAGCGGATGGTTTTAGGGAACTCGTCGTAAGCACACCGAGGTCCTTTTGGGCTTCGACCTCTTGTAGGGCTGCACCGCCCAGAAAGTAGCCTCTTGTGCTGGCGGATCTGGCTATGTTGCCTTGGCGAAGTATGCTACATTTGGCAATGTTGAACCGCAGGAGTCAACGATTTGACCACTCCTCCAACCGATTCAGGTTCATCTGCAGTCTGTCTTCATCGGCAGGACCCCGAATTACACTCCATATCTTCATGTCATCCGCGAACATTGCTACTTCACAGTCTAAATCTCTTGCGGCATCGTCCACGTAGATAAGGAACAAAATGGGTCCCAGTACTGAACCCTGGGGGACACCACTATCAACCATAGCCTGATCTGATTTTCCCCGACCGACGCACACAACCTGCTGTCGACCCACAAGGAAGTTTTCGATCCATTTATGGAAGTTGTCACTAATCCCTATTTTTTTCAGCTTATGTAAGAGTCTTTGATGTGGCACAGTGTCGAAAGCCTTCTGGAAGTCGATGAAGGCTATGTGAACCGCCTGCCTGTCGTCGAGAGTTTGGGTCCAGCTCTGGAGAGATTGCAGCAGGTTTTTCGTGCAGGATCTTCCTTTTCGGAACCCACGTTGGCATTTCAAAAGCAGGCCGTGAACTTCCAGGAATTGCATTAGTTCACACTTTATGATCCTTTCCATAACTTTGCAGAGAATGCATGTCAAGCTTATGGGCCGGTAATTTGTCGTCGCTGCCCTGTTACCTCCTTTGTGTAGCGGAGTAATATGCGCCAGCTTCCAATCGATAGGAAGTGTTTCAGTGTCTAATGACGTTTGAAAGAGCATCGACAAAGGCACAGAGAGCTCACAGGCAAGTTCCTTCAGAAGCTTGGGTGGAATCTCGTCTGGTCCTGGCGACTTCGATTTGTTCAATGCCTCTAATTCTCTTCGGACAATGCCTTCTGAGAAGAGTATAGCACTGACGCTTGGAGTCGGCAGCTCTTCTGTGGAGGGAGGAAGGAACCTTGCCTCGTTTGTATAGACTGATTGGAAAAACCGTGAAAAATACGCAGCTTTATCCCTACTATCAGCGATCTCGACGCCATCAGTAGTCTTTATCAAGGGGATTTGATGCCTGTTCCTTGTAGTTCGTCGGAGGTAGCTGTAGAGCAATTTTGGGTTCTGCGTTGCTTTTTTAGCAAGTTCTTCTCGAATTTCCGCCGCGTCTGCATTATCAGCTTCCTCAGTTTGTTCCTCTGTGTCTTGTAGGTGTTGAAATATTCAACTTGTCCAGTGGCGCAGTAGTTACTCCACAATTTGTGCTTCCTGTTGATTTCTTTCTTGAGGTTGTTATTTAGCCACCCAGGGCGTTTGTTCAGTCTTACACTAGTCAGTGGGCAGTGGTTGTTGATGAGCTGCAGAAGGACATTCTTGAACAGCTCCCAGTCATCGTTGGCACTTCCCGTAAACAAAGAGCCCCAGTCAAGACCGGATAAGTCTGCCCTCATCTGATTGAAGTCGCCCCGCCAAACATTACGCCTTTTGTGGTCTGGAGTATGTGAAATGGAGAATAACGAATAATCCCACATAAGCACTACGTGGTCACTTCGGCCAAGGGGCGGCATGGAGACGATCTCGTCTATGCTGTCTGGTGTTTTCGTAAAAACCAGATCCAGGTTGTTTGCTCGTTGTCCTTCACGTGTTCTCGTTGGGAACATTACATGTTGTGTGAGGCACGCATTTAATGTTTTGCTCAACAGGCGGTAATCGAAGGCCGATTTTGGACCTGACGCTTGGAGGGTGTTCCAGTTTGTTCCAGGTGCGGTGAAGTCGCCCATGATCATGATGTTAGGTCGACTGGAAAATTTCTCCAACTGCTCCAATAGTTGAGTGTCGGCGATTCAGTCTGTCCTAGGTGGTCAGTAGACAGTAAGGACATCGAGACACGGGGAACCAGTAGCCTTGATGGTCAACCAGATAGCTTCCGTACTGCACACAAACTTGGTGGTGTTATCCGACAGTGCCAGACCGTCATTCACATACACAACGATACCACCACCCTGACGATGTTCCCTGTCCCTCCGATAAATTTGGTATCCAGGCAATGCTACTTCGTTATCGCTAATATTCCCGGGCAGCCAGGTCTCAGTTACTGCTAAAACATCTGGAGACAGCTCCAACAAGGCAAAGTTTTAGTCCGTCTACTTTCGATATGAGGCTTTGGGCATTCGTGTACAAGCACCTCAGTTTAGCACCAACCGAATTTCCCGTTGCATTTGTTACTGCTGTGAGCATTACTCTGTTATCGCGGACATCTTGTTCTCTAGGCTCTTTCGTTACCTGATTGGTTCCATTTACATGCCCTGTTTCAATCAGATCACTGGACGCTACGGGCTCACTTGTGTTGGCGCCTTGATCAGGTGGTTTAACGAAGGTGTCTGTTTTAGCTGAGTAGCTGTCGTCGTTCGTAGTATTACAGGCTGGTTCCACTGAAACGGCATATATTTCCGAACTACCTTCCCCATGAAGATAGCCAGATTGTGTTCGTCATCATTCAGTCTTGATTTTAACTCCAAGACAAGTTCCCGGCGTTTCAACCGTTCCGCTGGTGAATAGTCCGGTTGAAAAAACCTGTTTGTGTGTGTTTCTGAGATCAGTTTTTTTAGAGAGGATAAACTTGATTAGCTCTTTGTTCTCCGGCATAATTTTGAGAGGGCGAGGTGGTTGTGCTGCTGTCCTGTCTTCACTCCTTTTTCCTATCCGGAATGCTTTCAGAACCTTTATTTCCATGTCTGCCTGGAGTAACTGTTTTAGTAGACCATGAAAAGGAGCAAGGTCCTACGAGACACGGTCTTCAGGTCTGACTGCATTCGATTCTGACAAACCCTGAATAACCAGACACTGCTGGCGAGCATGGTCCTCCGTACTCTGTCTTTCCGATGAATGCGCTGCATGTGGGCGAGGACGATTTACGGAGTCGTCGTTTGGACGCACACTTTAACTGTCTACCGACTGTTCCAAACAACCCATCAGGTCTGGTTGTGACTTCAGACTCCTATCATGGCGTTCCTTGCTCCCATCTACCTACGGGTTCATGTCTTCGCATTCAGATACGTGCTCTGTAGTGCGCTCGGGGTGGTTGCCAGAACAAGAGGGCAACAGTAGACTGGATGACCCAGGTATATAGTCTCCGGGCAGAACAGAAATCCCATCACTTACAGCAAGAGGCTTAGGTGACATGGATTCCGCGATAGGTAATTTTTTGCGACATCGCTTAAGACATCATGCGTGGGAATCGAGTCTGCCCTTATTGGCGGCTTCGTTTTCGTTGTCCTGCTGTTACCGGCGTCTGCGATTTTGGCTTCTGAGTTTCAAATTGCGTTTCAAGATGCCCCGAGGAGATGTTTGTTCGCGTATTTTGTGCCCTGCTCTTCGTTTCTGGGACTCTAACACTGGACACTTTCTGGTCGTCTAGGGTCTATTTCACGAGCGTCCTTAAATCAGTAAGCTCCTTTTCGAGTTGTTCTACTTTGATTTGGATATCTGCGCACCCAGCACAAGGCTCGTCTTCGTACCTCACACTTTTTGCGGTAATTACGCTTTTTGCACGCTTTGCTTGTCGTTGGCTGGGAGCGCAGGTAGAGCGAACACAGGTTCTGGATGCGAAGGACAACTCACCGGACTTATCTTCCAACGAGGTGCCGTCGATGACCGTACTATTACAATTAGTTTGCTGCGACTCCATAAACTTCGACGTGATATAATAGGTATAATTCCGCTTTCGATGTTATAACGAATACGTCGGCTTATATATGATGAATTAAAGTGAGTATTCAAAACTCAATAAGTGAAAAAATACTTAAAATCCGATAAATTTTGTTGAATTTAATCAGAAGCGACTTAGCACTTTGCAGATCTCGTGGGACTTGAATAACTGCAGACCTTGAAGGATTTTGAGCGATTGGTTTTCTAGGCTGTATACCGTGAATCGGTTGCGTAGCCAGTTGCGTTGTCAGTTGCACTCTGCTGAAAAACAAATTGCACTTAATCCAGGTTCCAGGCGAATTTCGATGCGTGAAAAAATATTCCAAAAATGCACAAAGTTAATCTGTATGTACGGTTCCAGTATCAATGTCAGAGACTGTAACTGTGGAATGGTATCCAAGTCGAAATTGTCCCAGTGGGAGCGCAGAATAATTCCGTCGTGCTCAGTTGGGCTCTTCTTCTACGTGCTTTGGAGACTATCAAGGCGCAGTGCTCCGAGAGATTGAGACTCTTGGAGTATGATATGCCCAGATCATTTATAACCCTGGGCACATTTATGGAGTGACCTTTAATACTTAGTTGAGGTTGGTGGTCGTCGCCAACCACCATGACTGAGCACTTATGCCAAGAAAGAGAAAGGCGCCATGTGCGGCACCACTGAGCGAAAGCCTGTAGATTGCTCTTTAGGAGCTCAAGCACGATGTCATGATCTGCCGGCTTATATCGATATGCAACTTTAAGATCATCGGCATACATGAAAGGCCTACCATTCTGAAATAAATCGGGTACATCATTAACGAAAAGGCAAAATAAAAGCGGG